TTTTTTTTTTTTTTGAGACGGAGTTTCGCTCTCTTGCCCAGGCTGAAGTGCAGTGGCGCGATCTTGGCTCACTGCAACCTCCGCCTCCCGGGTTCACACCACTTGCCTGCCTCAGCCTCCCGAGTAGGTGGGACTACAGGCGCCCGCCACCACACCCAGCTAATTTTTTGTATTTTTAGTAGAAAGGGGGTTTCACCATGTTAGCCAGGATGGTCTCGATCTCCTCACCTCGTGATCCACCCGCCTCGACCTCCCAAAGTGCTGAGATTACAGGCGTGAGCCACCGCGCCCGGCCTATCTGACCGTTTTCTACCTATAAAAATAGCAGTTGCCTGTAGTCCCAGTTACTTGGGAGGCTGAGGCAGGAGGATCCCTTGAGCACAGGTGTTCAAGACTGCAGTGAGCTATATAATTATTCCTTTGTTGTGGGACATTTAGATCATTTCTAAATTTTCACCAGTGTTGTGATAAACCTCTTTTAACGAATCTTTTTGGTCTTGTTTATTGACATATAATTTTATCATTTCCTTAGAATTCCCAGAATTAGAATTGGTGGGTCAAAGAATAGATACCTTTTTTTTTTTTTTTTTTTTGAGACAGAGACTTGCTCTGTCACCCAAGCTGGAGTGCAATGACATGATCGCAGTTCACTGCAACCTTTGCCTCCTGGGTTCAAGCGATTCTCCTGCCTCAGCTTCCCAAGTAGCTAAGATTACAGGTGCCTGCCACCACGCCCAGCTAACTTTTTGTATTTTTAGTAGAGATGGGGCTTCACCATGTTGGCCAGGCTGGTCTCGGACTCCTCATCTCAAGTGATCCACCCGCCTTGGCCTCACAAAGTGCTGGGATGTCAGGCATGAGCCACTGCACCCTGCTGGGAGGTGACATTTGAACAGAGCCTTGAAGATGCTGTGTAGAAAGTCTGACAGGTGGCCAGGCGTAGTGTCTCATGCCTGTCATCCCAGCACTTTGGGAGGCCAAGGTGAGAGGATCGCTTAAGGCCAGAAGTTTGAGGCCAGCCTGGGCAGCACAGTGAGACCCTGTCCCTTAAAAAAAAAAAAAGAATTAGTAAACCCGGGAGGCGGAGCTTGCAGTGAGCTGAGATCCGACCACTGCACTCCAGCCTGTCACAGCGAGACTCTGTCTCAAAAAAAAAAAGAAAAAAAGGGAAAAAATTAGGCCAGGTGTGGTGGCTCATGCCTATAATCCCAGCACTTTGGGACGCCAAGGCGGGCAGATCATGAAGTCAGGAGATTGAGACCATCCTAGCTAACACAGTGAAACCCCATCTCTACTAAAAATACGAAAAATTAGCTGGGCGTGGTGGCAGGTGCCTGTGGTCCCAGCTACTCAGGAGACTAAGGCAGGAGAATGGCATGAACCCGGGAGGTGGAGTTGGCAGTGAACAGAGATCGTGCCACTGCACTCCAGCCTGGGTGACAGAGCAAGACTCCATCTCAAAAAGAAAAAATAGCCCAGCGTGGTGGCCCTTGCCTGTGGTCCCAGCTGCTTGGGAAGCTGAGGTAGGAGGATCACTTGAGGCCAGGGAGTCGAGGCTGCAATGAGTCATGACTGTGCCACTGTACTCCAGCCTGAGTGACAGAGCAAGACCCTGCCTCAAAAGAAAAAAAAAGTTTGATAGGGCATGTGGAACAAGAGACAGGATTTGAGGGAAGAGCATGAACAAAGGTATTGAAGAGTAGCGGGACACTGTGTTGGGAACTGAGTGGTGTGGACTGCACAGTGATGGGAGGAAGGGCAGAGGAGAGTTTCCAAAAATAGCTGGGACCAGACTGGGAAAGGCCTTGAATGCCTTCCCAAGGAGTTAGGAATTTATTCCATACCTGGTGCCCATGAAGGAAGCAGATTGCTTCAAGGTTAAGCTCAGGCTTTGGAGACAGACTCTCCGGGTTTGGATTCAGGCCCTGCCACTTATTAGCCATGGGGCTGGGCTCACCCAGCCTCAATTTCCTCATCTGTAAAATAGGATTGTTAATCACAGGATTGTTGTGGGGTTTCAATGACAGAATGCGTGTAAAATGCTTAGTACAGTTACTGTCACTTATTTCTCAATAACTGCTGGCTTTGGTCATCAATAAAAGAGAGAAACAACATTATCAGATCTGTATTTAGAAGGCATTCTGGCAGATAGGGACAGATTTGGGCCAAAATCTCAAGCCAGTATTTTTCAAGGGTACACTAAACCTTGGTACATATCTAAAATAATACATTTTTTAAAAGCGTTAAATGAGTATAGTTGAAACTGCAGAGTTGTTTTTTTTTTTTTCTTTTTCTTTTTCTTTCTTTTTTTTTTTTTTGAGACAGAATCTAACTCTATTGCCCAGGATGGAGTGCAATGGCACGGTCTTGGCTCACTGCAACCTCTGTCTCCCAAGTTCAAGCAATTATCCTGCCTCAGCCTCCCAAGTCTGTCTCTTATACACATCTAGATGTGTATAAGAGACAGGCTCTGCCTCCCGGGTTCACGCCATTCTCCCGCCTCACCCTCCCGAGTAGCTGGGACTACAGGCACCCGCCACCAAGCCTGGCTGATTTTTTATATTTTTAGTACACACAGGGTTTCACCGTGTTAGCCAGGATGGTCTCGATCTCCTGACCTCATGATTCCGCCACCTCGGCATCCCAAAATGCTGGGATTACAGGTGTGAGCCACTGAGCCCGGCCCTGAATAATTCATTTTTGCTAAGCTTCATGTTGACTCTATATATCATCTAAGAAAGTATTGTTTCGTGGTCCAAACCTGTTGCCATGGTTAGTAAGGCTTTCTTAGGTGTGAAATATTTAGATGAAATTTTCTCTTTTAAAGTTCTGTATAGGGTTAGGGTGTTGGAAAATGCTATATTAATAAATCTGTAGCGTTTTGTGTTTATATGTTCAAAACCAGAGTAACTGGATTGAAAGATGGACTGATAGATCTAATCTATCAGTCTAATTTATGATGACTGATAGATCTGGTTAAGTTGTGTAGTAAAGGATTAGGAGAGCCATTCCTGTCACAAAAGTGCCTCTAAAACAGTCTAAGGAGAAAAATGGCTTGCTTTTCTAAACTTCAGATTTATCTGGGCTCTAATCATGTAGACAGGCTTCTGACAGATTGCAACTGTCAGTAGAAACCTACATATAGTTAAAATCCTGGTCTTTCTTGGTAAACAGATTTAAAATGTGTGATGTAAAACATGCCACAGGAGAATTCAGGGATTTGAGTTTCCCTGAATAGCATATATATGATGCATCAGATGAGTTATTACTATTTTTTACCATTTCTACTTACATAATGAAAAACAATTCATTTTAAATATCAAAGTATTATTTTGTAAGTTGTGGAAAAGGGCAATTGAAGTTTTCATTATGAAGTTTTCCCAATAAACCAGGAATTCTAAACTTGAAAAGAAAAATAGAATTCGCCAGATGTGGCTGCACAGGCCTGTAATCCCAGCCACCCAGGAGGCTGAGGCAGGAGAATCACTTGAACCTGAGAGGCAGAGGTTACAATGAGCCGAGACTGCACCACTGCACTCCAGCCTGGGTGACAGAGACTCTGTCTCAAAAAAAAAAAATAATGAAAATAATATTGGGATTATACTGTACGCTCAGGTGTACATTCTTTCTTACATGTATTGTGAATATATTTTGACAATAAATATCTTTACTTCACTTAAAATAATCACCTTATATTTTGTTTTATGGAATACAATATT